CCTAATCTGATGACAGTGTCATGGATATTGAATATATACTTCCGTGCATGTAATAAACTATTGCGTATAGTAACCTAGAAATTAAAAAGAAATCTTTAAACCAAGTAAGCGCGCACACGCACGTCACACACACACACACACACACACACACACACACGCACGCACACACACACACACACACACACACACACACACACATTATTAACAAAATTTAAAAAGAATCATTAAAAACAATAAGCATAAACATAAGTCTCTCAAAAAAAAAAGATAATCAACACAAGGATGTAAAAGTCATTGATATCAGTAGAATAAATACACGTTCTATCTTCAAAGATCCAAGCTCATACCTAACTTTCAGTTGATTCGTAGAATAATAAAAATCACGATTGCTAATATTCGAGACTGTTGAATCGTGCTTTTAATCTTCCTATAATGTATAAGATCCTTAAGAGTCAAAACTCACCGGAAGGTTTTTAACGAGATAATGTTGTCTGATTGGGTGACTTAAATAACGATCTAAATCCAGGATCGCAAAGGGGACATTATGTATTTTGGTGAAAATCGACAAGGGCAGCCCTAACAGAACGTCGCACATCAACGCCCAACCTTCGGACCATCCGTTGTGTTTAGGTAAAGGTGGAATAAACATCTTCCAATTTACTTCGGTGTTGTAAATAGTACTGAATTCTGGGATGAGATCATCGTTGATTTCGTATCCATTAGACCGAAGCATTTCCACCTGTTTTTCCTGAGATAATTTCGGTATGCCAGGATGATCATAGACTAGATAGAATAATAGAATGTGTATCGTTCGCATCCTGACGAATTTCGGACTGAAACCGTAACGTCTGCCAGCTTTTGGATCATGCTTATAGTTCATAGAGGATAATTTAGTCGCTGTCTTGTTGAGCTCTTGCAATTGCTCCTTAGGCGACTTGTCTGTCTTCTCCTGTTTATCCGTCTTCTTCACTCTCCTTTGAGACGCTAATAAGCAGAATTTGACCTTCGCTTGCTCGACAGCTGACTTAATTACGGTATGATTAGTGTCGATGTTAGGATCACAAATAAACGTCAAATTCTTCTCACTTCCATTTGCGCTTAAAGTCAACTTGATGTTCTTCACCAAATTATCTTTAGCAAGTTTCTGTAACAGTCTGATGAGAGACCTCTTATCAATCTTCACATCGTAACCCTCTTTATCTTCTTCCTCGTAAATCATCTTCATAAGTTTCGCTGTATCGTCAATCACTTGATTTTCTTTCACTGCCTCGATTATCAGGTTGGCACGTCTTAACAATCTAAATACAAAAATAAACAATATAAAAAGAGAAAATATTTAATAACATTGATATCTACAATAAAAGAATCTGAGTGTTCGTATTTCTAAATTTAAAAATATTCAGAAGTTACAAAAATATAAATTTTACATTACAGCAAAATAGACAAAATTATACGCAATAAAAGTTTCTGTTTAACTAATATACATTCCTCTCTAGGAACAATGATTTAATATATTTATTAATTAACCATTTATTTATGCTTATGTGTATATTTATACAAACCTATACGTAATATTAGAGTTTCTCTTTTCTGTATTCTGCACGATTTCCATAAAACCAAAGACTTCATTAACTCCTTTTCCAGTGCGAATGGGTTTTTGTGTTATCAAATTTGTCTTTATGCTGTTATAAAACGACGTAGCTTTAGCATCGTTAATTATTTGCTGCAAAGACGTATTGAAATTGTTAAACTTTTCTTTCTTCTTCTTCTTCTTCATGTTGGTATCGAAATTTTTTCTTTTCATTAATAAAGATTTCGACGTCGTACATCTATATTTAGATTGAATTTTTGACAATCGATATTTATGTAAAATTCTATTAACAACATAAAACAAATTCTTCAATTCTGTTTCCTTTCTAGCACAATTTTCATCTGCATGTTTATCTTTCTCTTCATCAAGAATCTTATCTTTATCAATAATTGGTGCATCAATATCATCAATTTTATCAATATGATGATCAGAAGAGGATTTTTTACTTGTCTGATCATGGTTTGTTGGGATCGCTGGGTGCTTTTCGTTTTCTGCTTGCATAGATGTTTTGTTCTTCAGATTCTCTTTACGCTTACTGGTTATTTTCTTGGAGAATTCCTTAATTTTATGTACTTCTTTATTAAATTGCTTGCTCATTTTGCTGCTTTTTTCGTATTTCTTTGAAACATATTTTGTAATCCTTTGCCGACCCATATCATTCATATATGTTGCAGCGATACCCGCTTTTACCACATTTCTCATAAATGATCTAGACTGTAATTTAGTGAGACCCATTTCTCTTCCCAAATTAGCTAAAAATTATAATAAAAAATTACTTAATTTCTATTTGCTTGTAATTTGAAAATTAAATAACAAAATGACATATATTAATTTTTTTATAATATAGTAGAACTCCGTTCATACACATAACACACACACAACTGCACTTCATTTACATGAACAAGTTCATGCCCCAAATAGTCAAATTTATAGCTGAGCTCCTATTATTGAAATTACAGCGTCATAGTTTAGACGGTAACAGGAGCTTGACATGCTCTACTCCAGTCTTTCTGAACTGATACAGAGGAAAGTTATTGAACATTTATTGTCCAAATCATTTGGTTACCAAAAATGTACCCCAACAAGTTTGGATATACAATATGTATTATATATATATATATATATATAACTGGCCAAGTTATTCCATTCTTCAGAGGAATAGCTATAATTGACCAATTTCGTATAACTATGGATATTATTGAACCCGATCAAGGGTGCTGAGTAAACATTGTTAATAACAAAAAATCTATGATTTAGTACTAACCTTGAGATATACCTTCTGCTTGACTAGCTTCAATAACATCGTTTGCTTGTTTCAAATAAGGAACATTTAACAAATGATTAGATACATCCAATTCAACAATGTCTTCATCATCTTCCTTCTCTTCTTTGTTCCATATATCAGCAACATCCACATCCGGATATAGCACCTGTACAACTTTAATTTTTTTCTCCTTCGAAGGATCTTGCTTTTGCCGCCATTCACTAGGCTCTGCTTTAGGATACAATGTTCTATATGGTACACGGATGTCTGTCTTTACAATTTTTTGAAAAACGGCGATTCTAAACAGTTTCTTGATAGAATTACCAATTCCAAGCTTCTTCTTAATCTCATCGTAATCAGCTACACCATTGTCTTTGGATCGTAGAATATCGACCACTTGTTCCGCCAGATAAATCGTTTTTGGCTTTCGTTCTACATAAAATCGTGGTAGATGCAACAGACTACCACTGTTGCAATGGCCGGCGCTCTTTTGATGATGGATTTGCTTCGTGATCAACTTGTGTTGCAGTAGAAACTTTCGGTGATAGAACAAAGTTTTTGGATCCTCTTTGAGCGCAGCTAAGCTAAGTTTGCCTTGAGTGACTTCGCCATGGTAACGAGATCGACCTACTCTTTCTAAGAAGCAATAGTGCATGATGCTCAGTTTCAATGTCGGACTTACTTCGACACTCATCAAAGTTCGTGACCTAACGCGTTGAGATGCTACAATCACCAAACTTCGTCCATACTTTTCTGTCACCTCATCCAAACTTGCATTTGTCACATTGTTTGTGATATCTTTTCTTGTATGATATGTGGAGCAAGATCCCTTCGCACCTGTCTTAGGATCTTGAATAGGACAGTGGGGATAAATATCTGGTGGAACAGTTGGCTAAAATTCAAAAAGTAAAAATAACAAGATTTTAAATAATAATAAATGCAAGTCAAATTCAAAATAAAATTAAAGTATTAAGAAATCAAATTATTTGTAATTACAAAATCACTTTATAGCTTAATCTTCTTAATGAAATAGCAAATATTTCAACATTTCTTATAGCTTTACAGTAAGAATATTTTATACAAAATTATACAAGTATTATTACATCTTAATATACTTACTGGTTCTTGTATAATACCAAGATCAGGATGTACATGTTCATAACGATCGAATATCACAAGCGGATCTCGGGGTGTTTCTAATTCGTAAAATTGAAAATCCTTTACTTTCGTGCATATTATCCATATCTGTTCCATGAAAGGCTGAGGGTATGGCAGCGAATCATTGAACCTGTTTGCTAATCGCATCCACAGTGCTAAAAATAAGAAATAAGAAATAATAACAAATAATGAGATATAAAAAAATATATCAATGCATTATTTATAACAAACAAATAAAAAAATAACATGCAAAGGTAAAAATAAAGCTGAATCAACAAGATACATACTTCAAAATTATATATGTTCAAACAATAATTAACATAACAATCCGTTGTAATAAAAGAATAGATAAATTATTATGATAATCTGATCTTAAATATCTAAAATGATATAGTATTTACAATACAAAAGTAAAGTCAAATAACCTTGTAAAGTAATGCCGTCTAAACCTTCTAAGGCAACTTCATCGACGACCGCCTCCACTAAGTTACATGCCGGATAAGCCATGCTTTATTAGCAGCGGTGCATCTAAATGTAACAACAAATACATTAATTGCTTTTTACAGTTTTGCACAATTGATAATTTTAAAGTTTCAAAATTTTTAGTGAGTCCCGTAAATCATGGAAGTATGTAATCTGTGAAAGCACGCAAACAATCATGGTGGATACAATCATGGTGGTTATCATCATATGTTTACAGTCTGTTGGCGTTGTTCGCACTTTTTGCACTCAATCTTCGATTTTCTCTCTCTTTAACACCTGAATATTATATTTAGGTTTTTTTGCGCTTGAAATCTTCCAAAATTTGTTATTCTTAAAAATGAGATAAATATATAATATAATATTTGGGCGTTGAAAAGAATGAAAACGAAGATAAGTGCAGAAAGTGCAAGCAACTTGAATAGACCTATCAAGTTACTACTTATAAGTGTCATTCGCATGTGATTAGACACGCTTATCCGGTTATTTTGTACGTTCATGGTGGAAAATGAGCCTAACCTAAATTAATCGTGTGTGCTACTTTGAGATATGGTGTAATTTACGTTCTTGCAAAACTTTACATCACCTCGCTGAAGTGATTGTCTGGATTACATTTACGATAACTGCTTCAGCCGAAACGTGTCACAAAAATATTGCAGAAATAGTTTATGGTGAGATTCACGAATACCCGACAATGACGAACAGCTGGCGAGGCACGAACATGCCAAGTTCAAAGGTAAATTCTTACATGTGTAATTTTATGATTGACACATCATTTTCAATTCAAAATACAATTTTATACGTAGCTGCCATATATTGCAATTTATTGCAATAATTATTTGTTGTTATCAAAAGCCATTAATTGAGCAAAAATTTAAAAACGCTTTAAGATTGTTCGATGGTTGAGAATTATTCCTTTTTTCCCATTGTTGTTTAATAAACTGAAATTCTTGATACATTTTGTTGTTTATTTTACTACAGGACTTTGAACATGATGAGTTTATGAAACGTATAAAAAAGTCATTATATTATTCCAAGTTGCCAGTGATTAACTGCTTGAGTTTACCAGTTACAGGTCAGTATGATATTCAGTTATAAATTAACAATTAGAATATATTGATACATGAAAATAATTTGTTGTTTTAAATTATCTTTTATATTAATAAAAAATTAGTTACGATTGATACGTAGTTGTCTAATAAATCAAAATTTGTATAATAATATTTTAATGTGATCAATAAGAAATTTTATATTAAAAATAATCATTATAGTTGCTGCTCAATTGTATAAAGACAGATAATAAAGTCAAGGGTTAAGAGTGTAACAGCAAGTTGATATATGCTAATATTTTAATTTATAAACAATATAACATACATTTTGACCAATACATTCAGGTCATTTTCAATGGTAATACCTAATAAAAAACGTACTAAAAAAAACATTTCTAAAACCTACATACTAAACTACTTAATTCTAGATTACATTTGGATATAATATTTATACAAAAAAACTTGTTGTTTTCTTTCTCTTGCAATTAGTCATCAATTAAAATCCGGTTCACCATTATGTATCTCTTGACAGAATTAAAATGTCGTCTTGTAAAACTTTAGTCAGAATAGTCATTAGTTTTTCGGAGCGTGGATTGGACAGATCACTAATATCAAATTATAAAAATGTATAAAAAATGAATTGTTCTACTAAATTTAACTGTTTCTTTAATAAATGTAAATTTTATATTATTAAATGGGCCAACTATTTTTACTATGTTTTTATCTGAGGGAATAATTTTTGTTATATGAATTTTAAAAGAAAGATTTAAGGAAAAAGTTCTGAAATATTAATTTTCAATATTTGTCTTTAGTTTCATTAAATTGAATTTACAATATTTGATAACATTACTTGCTCTTATTTTAAATATTATTCTGTTTAAAATTAATTTTACTTTATGAAGAATGATAAAGAATAAATAGAAAATTTTATTTACTTCAGCACATACAGCAGCTAAGAAAGGGATTCGATTTACGTAATCTGTCTTTAACATCCTTCCATACTTCTGTCACTTATTCGTACCTACTTAAATAACAATTATCTTATTTGCTCTCTCTTTGTAACTGTAAACTGCTTTTTTGTTCCTCTCCTTATTTTTGTTCTTGTTTTTATTTTGTCTATTTATTTTATTTCCATTATCACCTTTTCACAGCCTACTTTACATTATCTGTCTCTTACACACAGTTCTACTTTCTATCTTAGCTATACACCTATTTCTTTGTAACATTACTTCTTTGTACCTAAACCCGTTATTATTTTCTATTCTATTTTTAAGCTCTTATCGGTTCTATCCCTAATCAACTTTCTTTTATCTATCTCTGTCCTTCCGGTCCTTCTTCAACTTCTTCTCCATATTTTTCCAAAGTTTCCTTATCACTTTTCTTTTTGTATCTAACTCCTACTTAAGATCTTGTTTCTTTACCTAACTTTATGAATCTGTCCTTCATCTCTTCACACATTCTTTCACATCATGTTCTGTTATCTTTACCCTTTCCACAAAATAAACATTCCCCATTCCCTTAACTCAATATTAATATGCATATTAATAAAGCATGATTCATAAATTAATCTTTTTTGTATTTTTAGAATTGGCAGCAGAACTTTTTACGGAAGTAAAGAGCGGTCATACATTGGAAAAACTCGATGTCGAGGAAGCAAGCAGAATATCTAGAAATGCATGTGTTTCCCCTTGCTCACTTGTGTTGGCTTTGCTGTATGTTGAAAGATTAAAGAATTGTAATCCAGAATATCTTCATCAAGTAGCGCCATCTGAGCTATTCTTGGTTTCTTTGGTAATTTATTATTCTTTATTTTGATGTGTTAACATGATAACAATTTTAACATCATTTAAGTTAACGAATAAATTTTTGTTAACGCTTATTAGATGGTAGCCAGTAAATTTTTGCACGATGATGGCGAAGAAGATGAGGTTTTCAACAAAGAGTGGGCAAATTCGGGACAAGTGACTATATCTCGAATGAATAAATTGGAAAAAGATTTTCTTGCTGCAATCGTAAGTAATCATTTATACATTATTTAAAATTTATATAATTTGTAATTTAGTTACCAATTGATTATGTATCATTTATCAAAATGTATTTTATCATTTTTATGCCACAGGACTGGACAGTGTTGGTGCAGCACCAAGACTTTTGGGAAAGGCTGCAACAACTAGAAAAAAACGTGGCATATCGAGAAATACACAAGCGCAGATGGTGCACATATACAGAATTGAGTTGTCTGATGAATTCCGTTCAGTTGATTAGAATCGCACAAACTTTAATTAGTGTGTCTTCGATTTGTCTGGCGACTTATGCCGCCGGATTGGCTACTCTTCTGGGATCCACTCTGGTTGCCAATTTTATTGTGCAAAGTTGCTTACCTGGGATATCACTTAATTCGAGACAATCAACGAATCTGTCAATAAATCTCGCGACGAATGTCTCGTCAACCGATCTAACTGATACATTGATAAATACACGATCCCAGGAGATTAACGATGATGGTCTTCCGATTTCCGATTCCGAGAATATTGCAGCTTATTCTGCAATTATGGAAACCGATAATGATGATGATGATGAAGAAGCCAGTTGGAAGTGGTGGCTAAACTCAACAATGACTTGGTTGCCTGAGTATTGTTTAGAGAGCAATGTCGAGGTTGCAAATTTCACTGACAAATTATGCATCATCAACATCGACTTTTCATTCAATTCGACGCAAGCTATAAATATAAAAAAGCTGGAGAAAATAGGGAAAACGGAAGATTTCGCACCGGAAGACTATCGCCACAACGTAAATTGGAAGGAAATACTAGACACAACCTTAAATTGGTTAGAACAAAACTGGAAACGATCACATCACGAAAGTGTCTTTCAGTTACCAGAATTAAAAATTTACTATTAGCTTGCTTATAAAAATTTGCCTGTTAAACAATCTTTTTCAAAGGATATATATATATATATATATAAACAGATATATAAACCTATATTTTTTGTACTAACTTTTTGCAGTGGAATGTTCGATACTAACAGATCTGTTTTTCTCAATAAATATCCCATGTCGCATGCTACAAATGCTGTTTTATATCTAAAAATGATTACATATTGGGGAACGAATAATGAATAGTCTTTTTGGAAGACTGATATTAAAACAAGTTTTTATTCTAGTTTAGTAACTCTCTGATATCACACATATACAAGCTTCTTTTTTAAATAGATTTTGCGTTGGATTAAAGCCTCGTAAAACACAGTAGGTTTAAAACCTATTTCATCTTTAACAAACAATCATAATATTGCACACAAACTTTGTCCTATACAGTTCTATACTATACACATTCTATACATTTATATATATTAAATATTTTATAATACTGGATGTGAGATGGAAATCGTGTTATTTACGATAGTTGAACATTAAAATTATAAAAGTTTAGGCATTTGTGTAAAATAAAACGCTTATTGCGGGGTATTTGTGGCCTGTCCTACATACTAAGTTAATTGTATTAAATTAATTAAATTAATTCGTTTCTCTCAGTCGGTTTTTTTTTGGCTAATTCAGCTACCATTGCGGAAAAGCGCGGCTAACGGTATGGGCGTCATGCCAATAATGCATCCAATCGTAACACCAATAACTCGACCCTGTAATCAACAAAAAAATTTCCTTGAATAATTTCACTGAAAGACTTCATCTTTTTAATTATCCAAGAATCTTTTTTACGTAAATTTTTACGTAATACTCAATAATAAAACAAAAAAATATGCTCAATATGTAAAATAAAGTATAACGAAACAACAATTGTACCAAATTCGCAGCTATTCGTGTCCTAGGTAGATTCAGTTGTGCTAGAGTTAATTTGGGCGCTTCGAAGCCGATTTTTTGAGCAAACATCTCAACATAATGCACCGAACCGATTCCAATGACATCGGATACCGTGTTGCCCAGCGCTGCCGCTGCCATGGTGGAGATAGGGAACCTTCTGTTCAGCATCAATTCAATTTGATCGCCCTGAAACATCAATCTTAAAAGTCGGCACATAGGAAATGACGGAAGTCCATAAGATACATACAGCAACGATCATGATGAAGTTGTCAAGAAAACCAAATCCAACGAACGGAATTGCATTTGCAATCGCGACTGCAAAAATACAATTATTGTTCCACATTATTTATTTGCACTTTTAACCGAAATCGAGATTTAAATTATTATATGTATATAAAACTTCTACATATTTTGTCCAATTAAAATTTTCTTAAAACAAGATATATCTATATCATTTAATCAATCTTTGCAGTAATGATAAATCTTTTAAAATAAAAGTATTATTTAATTTTTATCTTGTAAGCAGCAAATAGGAGATAAATAAGATAAAAACGCGACCGATTACTTGCTAGTGAATATATAAACTCTTTGATATTGAAAGTAATACATACCGAATACCAAGTCTTTTGTGGGTGGCTCTGCAACGTGTTCAACTGCAAAAAACAAAAGATTCAATCTAAATCCGCATGTTAATCGTATTTAATATGAGAGAAATTGCTACATAATTACTTAATGAAACTAGCAAACATTAAATGCAATATAAGGTAAATTGTTTTTATTGTTCATGAACACCAAAACTGTATATCGTGATGTATTTTTAATGAATTTAAATAAAAAAAGGAATCTTAAGAAAATTCAAATAAAGGAAAAAAATATTGTAAGGAAAAAAACAAAAAGCTCTACAATTAAAGACAATTTTGTAGAGTTTAATAAATTCTACAAAAATCATTTTATCCAAACAACTTTGCCTAATATGAATGAAAAATAATCTGGCCAAATGATTATTTCAAAAACAAAATTTGCAAGAGATACGAAAGAAAATGTGAAAAACATAATTCTATAATTTTTATAAAAATGTATTTGGTTAAAAAAAATTAACAAGGACTAATTTCCATATTGAGGGAAAAGGTTTTTAAAAAATGAGAGAACCATAGAAAAGTGTCCAAAATATTACCTAACTGTGGCACTGTGGTTGGCCATGAAACATCCGAAAAGTTGTGTTAGAATAGAAGCAGGCAAGAGAGTTAGTGTAATTAGAAGAAAAGAGACACAGAGAGTGCTAGAGAGTTAAAAGAGAAATCGAGAAAAAACGAGAAACTTACAGAATAACATCCATGGAGATCGCATTGCAGAAAAAATATTCCATTATATCCAAAGATACCATTAAATAACAGGGAGGTTAATTTTATTTTGCGAGATCTATAGGTAATAAATCTAAGTTAATGTTCATAATGTTTTTTTTTTTATGAATGTAACGAACTGTTACACTGCATTAAAGACATGTTAAATGATCCTGTACTATTTAACGATCCTATACTACTTCTTTCTTTAATAGTACCGATGATTCAACGAATGCATGATATGTATGATTTAAAAAATAGATATAAATAGTAATGTCCTTACCGTACTTGCGGTTTAACCAATCGTCCGGCATAGGGCAGTAGGTTCCTGTAGGATCCACCTCGCCTAACGATGGTATTTTGCTAGGTCTACCTAACTTGCTCCTCCATCGGATAGCTGCCAGTTGACCTAGCAAAGATGCAAGAATTTTATTGTGTTTCTTTGTGATATATGTATAAAACTAAATATATAAAAGAAGATCAATACATCTTCCCTGTCAATATTTAATCTTATAAGAAGTTATTTTCTACTGTACATCTTTAAAATCAGGATTAGCCCCTAATTAAATAACAAACACTTGTGCTAAATATATAAAAGATCAATATCTTCTCCATTAATATGTAATGTTGTAAGAAATAATTTTCTGTACATCTTTAAAATAAGGATTAGCCTTTCGTTAAATAGCAGATGCTTGTCTAAGACTACAAATTTATTGGAGCAAGCGATGTCTACCTTCATAACCAGCCTTCTGCTCCGCTGATTTGCATTCATTCAATGCTGTCAAGAATAAGCCACGTTCCTCCGAGGTCAGCTTTGACACCAACTCCTTCGCTTGCCGCTTCGTCAGAGCATCGACGACGGCGTCAGGGGAAATTGGAGTCCTCACGGAAGAGAACATTTTCGAGCTCTCGCGAAACCAGCCCAGAACTCGCGAGACATCGGCGACGCACAACGATGCGGGACACCGTCGTAACAGCACGTTGTTCATTGACGATTCGGAGCAATGAAGTTGCTTAACGCCGAGCCGCATAACATCTCTCGGAGTAAATCCTCGTCGACCAAGCGCCGTCACCGATATACACATCTTGTCTAGGTATACGGGAGCGTCAAACGAATAGAAACTCACACGTTGACTCTTGTCGAGTGTCTATGACGTGTCCGTGTCCCTTCTCCCTTTTTCGAGAGGACAATCTCTCGGAAAGCATCTGGTGCGATCCGGTAAATGCGAGAACGCATTCAAGGACCCAGTGATGTCAGAGTTGGTCAGACGTCAGACGTCAGACTGACTCAGCCACTGGCGCCACTTGCCGCCACTCAGCCACTTGACTGGACTGTCAATTCTACCAAGCACAGTGGAAGTGGAAAGGCAATAGCACACAAAAAGCTTAAGAATCGACAGGAGTGACTAGAGTTCTGTATATAAAAGAGACTCGAAATCGAACTCTCACCAGAGTCCGGATACCATCACGGCATCACCTCCAGCGTCGACATATTTGGACCGCTCCAATGTCATAAACTCCGTTTAATATAAACATGTTCCGTTAGCGTAAAGTTCGTTTGCCGAAATAAGCAAAATTATAACAAAAACAATAATTTAATTTAAAGATGTACTATAATACGAAAGAGCTTAATGACAAGAAATCAACGATGGACTCAGATAGTCCGACGAATTAACTCTCGTAGCAATACAGCTCGGCGACCACGTGTCAGCTGTCATCTACGTAAACAGCTGCGGTCACAATATGGCTGCTTCACTTAGGAAGGGATACCCAATCATTATACACATCAGACTACCAATCAGAAACTCGGACATCAATATCTCTTTTATATACAGGACTCTATTGGAGTGACAAGCCAACTCGGAGAATGTGATGCAGCTACATATCTGCACTTTATCAGGCTCTATCATATATTGTTTTGTAAAAGCAATATTTTACCACGAAAATCGGTTTAGTTTATATTTTACGAAGCTACGAAATCGGTTAAAGAGCTAAGTTTAGCCATTTCGCTCTTAAAAACATTATAATAAATAAAATAATATTCTATATTTTCGACTTATTTACAGTGCAAATATATGTTTCCATGCTACTATTTCATCTGCTAGAAGTAATATTACATTATGAAACTTTTTTAGTTTTTTTTTTTATGATGCTGCGAAGGCGCGCACATAAAAAGATTTTGCAAATTAATTTTTGAAAAGTGACAGTAAATAAAATTTTATGCACCTCAAGTGCACTATAGTACACATCAGGTCAATCAGGTGTGACATCAAACGTGATCAAACGTCAGACCGGTTAGAGGCAGGACGCGTTTTCTCCATTATTCTCTAATTTTTTTTAAGAAGTAAAGAATATTGCAAAAAGTCGTTGTTGATATTACATGCAAAATATGGTATACCTGCATTTTCCGTCAAACCTAACAGAGGAAGAGTTGATGCTGCAGACTAAGTTTAGCAAGCTGAAGAGAAAGGTATAGGTTATGTTTTTGTATGAAATATACGATAAAATTTAATTTATCTGTTAGATATCCATTTCTCAATTAATTTATAACGCAAAATTCAAATTTCTGTTTAATCTACATGCAAAGATCATCGTTTTTTTTTTCTGACAATTATTATATCTGTGTAGCTGTATAAAGTATTTACCTTACTTTTATTTTTGATTCTTGTCAATGATTCCTCAAATTATAGAAAAAAGCGCTACAAGATCTAAAAGCTCCTAAACAAGAAGCAGAGCGCATTCCTCAGGCTCCAAAACGGCCTACGGAGGCAAGAGATGCTCGTGAAGTTGCCAAGAAGTTAATTAAGTCTGGCGTAATCACAGCCCCAAAGACTCCTAAGCGACCGGAGCAAACTTTCAAGAGATCTCGCGGACTAGAAAGGAAGTTAAACAGTACAGAAAAGACCATTAGTTCCTACCAACCATTTTCGGCAATGCAGGACGAAGAAGAAACAGAGACAGTGAGGCCAAAAGTCAAGGATTTATATAATAACTTTGTTGGTGCTCAAGACACTGGAGAGAGAAATACCAGTGATACTCCAGCTCCTGTTAAACAAGAAATTAAACCACGTGCGGGAAATACAATATATGTATGTGGTTATAAAATAACAGAAGATTATCTAAAGAAGCATTTCCAAAGCTTTGGAAATATTATCCATATTTCTATGGAAGCAGAAAAAAAGTAAATATAAATCATGTATTTTCTTATACACACTAATGTCCACTCAAAGTTTTAGTAGATATTTTCGATGCAATTGTTAATAATTAATTCTATTCTTTTTTGTCCATAGCCATGGCTTTATAACCTTTGAAAAGGCTGAAACTGCTGAAAGAGCAATAAGTGAAATGGATGGTAGCATGGTCTCGTCTATCCAATTAAAAGTATCGTTAGCAAGGAGGCAGCCGATAATAGAGCCAGTTAGCGACACTATGTCCAGCTCTATGTGGTCACCAATAGCGGCTAATTATTCACAGAAAAGTGCACATAAAGACAGACGGGAACTTAAAGTATACGAAGAGGATCTCTTCCAGTAACTGCTCTTTTAGTAAAGGTATTTTCGTTGGTAATAATTTTTTAAATGCAATATTATATATAATACCAATATTACCAACATACTATTATAATAGATCATGATATTTTGTTACTCCACTTATTTGGAAATGCGGTTAATTTATTTTCAATTGTACTTTAATTGTATTTTTTCGTTTTTCATTATAACATATATCTATCAACAAATTTGAATAGCAAACATTTGTATACTCTATATATAATAACTGATTTATTATTATAATTATAACAAAATTCATAATAGTGTAGAAATATTCATCAATATTTATCAATAAGAAAAAATATTATATAGTCAAACCTTGTTCGCTGTAAAATCAGCTGAATCTTAGTTTTTAACTTCTTTTTTTGTGTTTTCACATTGATTGATTTTGTGATTAATATACAGAATATCTTTTTGTTAACGATTCTTTTAATTAAATGGAAGACACAATGGCTATCATTCATTTTACTTTTAATTTCAGTTTTCTTAAGTCATAAAATCATGATTGTAAAAAAGAATAAAATTATTAATAGTTATATCGAAAGTATCTACTAAATCTTTAAATTTACGTTATTTTAAATGTAATATAGGAGAAAACAAGATATCGACTTTTTGGAGAAAAGAATAGAAATTGTTCTTTGACGAAAATTATAAATTAAAAAGGTTCGATTAAATAATTTTTTTTCTTAAATATTATGTATGTCATTGACTGAGATGTATGTATATGTATATAGCACATGAAATTATACTAAGAATTATTATAAATAGTATTCTTTAAATATTAAAGTTTTTAATTATATATTTGGCATATATTAATAATATAATTACAATTTATTTTTTACAAATCTGGCACTTTTCATTCTGATATGTGTACAAGAACTCTAATTCAATTCGAATTCCTTACTTCGTCATATCCTAGTATTTTCTTTAAGACAAAATTGTTGTACAAAACAGATTTATGCAATATGAAATTTTAACTTCTATAAACCAATGAACTATTTACGAACTTCTCTGGTAAATTGGATTGTAGAAGTGCTATTGAGGGGGATTAAAATAATCCCAATGATGATGATGTGTTACAATTCGTGTGCTACTGAAATAATATATCAACAAGCCTGCGATCAGAAGTAACAAGGCGCATATCGTTAATTCCACGTCTCTTATCTTCTCTCTCGTGTCGTCCATACTTAACGTAGACGCTAAATACCCTATAAAATACCTCATGGCTTTTATACCAGCCAATCGGAGTGCTCGAAGAAGCTGCTGCGTAGTATCTAAAACGCTGGGTTCTATATCAGAGCGTTGACTTGTTGGCGTTTCACTCAGAGAAAAGAACTGAGCTGGAATTTCGGAAGCTGGAAAGGCGATGAAGTGAGTCGAGCTCAAAGGAAAGGAAGATACTGGCGATTGAGAGGACTCCCTTTGCTTTTCCGTAAGGGATTGTCCCGCGTTGGAAGACTGGGAAATAACAGCACGCTGTGGTTGACTGTCTTTAGGGACACCGTGTCTCGTGTCCGAAGAATAGGAAATGACGGCACGCTGTGGTTTAGCGTCCGCGGAAGTACCACCGTGTCTTGGTACGGTTGAATCAGGGGTCGACATATCAGGGGTTACGGAAATGGCTGGTGGCAATGAACGAACCGGAGATGCGGTTTGCCGTATGATACCTTTAGTAGGCGAGGAGGATCTAGATCTTGACTTGCGAGGAGTCTGTTCTTTACTATCGGACACATCGTCCTTGCTGCTACAAAGATCCGTAGACATTGCGCCCAGCTCGGTAGTAGCAGTAGTGATAGTAGCAGTAGCAGTAGTAGTAGTAGTAGTAGTAGTTGTAGTAGTAGTAATAGTAGTACTAGTAGTCTGGACAGAGATACTCGGAGATTCGCCGACACGCTCCGGCGATTCTCTCAATTCGGAAGGCTGGATTGAAGGCGCATCCGACGGAGGATATTCTCTCGATTCGGAAAGCCGGGTTGAAGGCGTATCCGATGGAGGATATGAGGCACGAGATTCATCCACGTGGGAGCCCGACGTGGTTCGCGGACTCAAAGTTAGGGGATGTTCGGAATCTAAAATTCGTAAGGACTTATCTTGAGCGACCGTGAACAAGTGTGTGGTAGATTCTTTACCCTCGAACTCTAATTCATCTATCGTAAGTGTCTGTGGGGAAGGGAATTCTTTGGCTTGAGCAACTAAGAGGGGATGTGATATCTCTTTGTCTCTGATATCTACTACGTTTGTTTTAACAACCTTTTGATCCTTGCCAGCATCGGTCTTCTCATCTTCCGTAGACGTTGGTTCATTTACGACAGTCTCACTGGGCTTCGCCGCTTCCGTCGGAACATTCTGCGACGCAGGTTGTCGCTCTTGAACTGGACTATTATCCTTGATGGGAATGTCGGTTATCTTGTGGCTCGCGGACTCCTTTTCGCTCTCGCGATATCTTTCTTGTGCCTGGGTAGTTATCACGGTCTCCAAGTGACTCCTGATGGCTATCAGCTCTCTGATGATGGCCGGCGACAAACTTTCCTCCATGGAATCACCGCCTCTCAATTCCGATGCCGTAATCATCATCGCGTCCACCTCGGACGCCACGATTTTGTGCGCTTCTATCTGCGACACGCTCAGTCGATCAACTTTTAAATCTCCGACTTCGAGACTGCTGATTCTCAGTGGCTCATCGGACAGAAAACTCGACCTGACTTGAGGTCGCGATTGTGGTTCTTCCGTGACGTGTTCCTCCAGTTGCGGCGCAGATCTGTGCTTCGATTCCTCTCGAAAGTCGATTTCTCTCGTGGGCGATGGTGACGTTAGTGATACAGTCTCGTATGCCATTCGGATGTCCTCTTCTTTTGGAAGCCGTTCTTCCTCTCCTTCGTCCTCTTCCTCTTCTTCTTCTTCCTCTTTTCGTAAAAACTGTAGGATTGGTAACGGAGGCACGGGAGGTGTGGTCGTTCTGTTTGGACTGGGTATACGTTCCATCGATACCATTATCTGCGAGCCTGATCTAGAAGGTGTCATTATAAGTTTCGCCTGGGTGATCTCTAATTCCTCAATCACCATATCGTCTGGCAATGGATCGGTCTGTGTCGCCGCCGTCGTCTCCATTGTCTCTTCATATTCAAACGGAGTGCGAGGTCGTCCAGCCATCGCATGTTCCTTTCTTATCCTGGGTGGTCGCGGTGGCGCCGGAAGCGGGCGCCCTTGGATCTTGTTGAGCAATTCGCCGCTGCGAAAATCCCTATGTTCAATCTCATCCGCGTCGACCTCGATGTATGGCGCAGATTCGGATGGTATTAGAGTCATACTGATGATCGAGTCCGACGTCATGCTGACGTCCCTTGTTGTAGTGGGTCTTAGAGTACTATACGCTCGTTGAGGTCGCTTAGGCGGGGTCGGTCTCGGCGTCGTAGCGAACTTGTCGCGTTTTCTTCTGGGCGGTGGTGGTCTGGGCGGCTTTTCCCGCTTCTCTACGATTGCATAACCCGAGATATCTCGCGCCGAGCTATTCTCTTCCTCCTCTCGCGGTATGTCCTCCTCGATGTAACCAGCTTCTGGCAGAGACTCCGCACCGTGCGATGTTCTGTCCTCGTCAACGACTGACATGGTCCTCGAACGGGATCGTCTTTTCGGCGGTATCGGTACCGGTTCTGGCGCAGTGTCCTGTCGTTGAAGTCGCGCGTTCTCTAAGTTCTCGATGTCCTCGTGACTTGCGGACATGACAACGTCGCCATTTGCAAATCGCTCGGTTAGCGATTGCCGTGATCGCGACGATCTTGCTGGAATTATCGGCTTCCTGGATTCGATGATTTCGATTTTCCAGTCGTCGCGATGACCGTTGCAAATCGGTGCGCTTACGTCGCCGTTTCTTCGGTCCATTATCGTTTCGCGATGCGAACGCTTTCTGCGTGTTGGTACGATCGGTGGCATAGTTGAAAGAGTAGCAGATGAATCGGGTGCGGCAGTAATAGGTGTCGAAGGAGAGAGTATCGACGTTTCCATCGGTGGCTGCGAATGACTACGCAAGGATGACCTCGACTTTCTGCGCACCGGTTTCACCACGACTATGTCGTCCAATGGCTCCTGTAACGGTTCCGGTTGTTCTCCCTCCGTTTGGTACACCACGTGATGTCTAGAATCACTTCTAGAATCACTCCTGGTGCGCTCACGAATCATCTCGATCGATGCCTCTCGACTGTGTCGCACCGCTGCCGATCGTTCCCGTTTTGGTCTGACCGGTGGTACTGCCTCGTTGGACTCTGCTAAATCTTCTTTGTGCTTTCTCAAAGTCCGCGTTCTCACAGGACGTTGAGGCGGAGTAGATGGAAGCTCGTCGTCTTGCAACACATTGATGACTTCTGCTCTGAGAGCATCTCGGATTTCATCGGTCAAGTAATTGCCCAGATTCATGTCATCCTGACTGATACCGCTCTGTCGTAAAAAGAACTCGTCCGAGTCGATCTCCTCTATCACTCCGCGACGTCTTCGATCACAGGAACTGCCGCTGGATGCTTGCTGCTCTCGATCAGACTGTATCGAGGAAGGCTCGCGTTCTTCTTCGCCTTCTTCCTCTTCGGATGTCATCTTACGTAGTCCAAATCGCCTCGGATCCACCGCCATGAACGCTCCTTCGTACCTCTCTTGCTCCAGAACTCGTGGCATGTCCTCGTCCAACGATCGTGATCTCGGAATCGGTCTGAATTTCTCCTTGTGCATCATCTGCTGTTCTGCATGCCAATCATCCTGTACTGCCGCATCTTCGTTCTCTTCGGTGTCATCTCGGTGAACGTGTTTCATCTCTTGATCGTATAATTTCGGATCCACCTCCATTACTTCTTCGTGTTCGTACGATTCCTCCCGCCTTCGCGACTTGTAGGATCTTTTCGGAGGAGCGGGGTGCCGATCCGACATCTCTGATGATTCCTGTTCGTAGTCCATATACTGTATCTCCTCTTCTTCGTACTGTTCTCGCTTTTTCGTATCTTCCCATGGAATCGCATGAGCCGCCGCCATTATTTCCTCCTCTGTTCCAGCGGACAATCTCGGCGGTTCTTCCATTGAACTTTGATGCCACGGAGGAGACCCCTCGCTTCCTGCTGCTTCCTCTGGACGATCTTGATCCTGAACGTAAGCCGAATCTCCAAAACGTTGCGCCCACCTGGTGCCAAAAGATTTTGTCTTCTGAGTACGAGGAAAGGTCGTGCTCTCTACTGATTGAGTCCTGAAGTCTTTAGGCGAAGACGTCGCATACTCGCCGCGCTTCTTGGACTTCTTATCGAAGATGCGCGGATACGTGGCGAAATCAAAGATATTACGCTTGGAGCCAGCAGTGGATTCTGTCGAATACTGCTGTTGTTGCTCGCGTAAGGGAGGCGGCCGTTTAACGCGAGTGAGCGCGCTGGGCAGACGGATGTTGGGCTTCTTGATGTTGAACTTCGACTTATCCGGCAAGTGGAAACGCGACTTGTCCGGTAAACTGAACTTCGGTCTCTCCGGCAGGTGAAATTTGGATCTATCTGGCAGACTGAACCTCGGCCGTTCGAGGTTGAATTTCTCTGTCTTCTCGGAGATGGACGTTCTTATCCGATCGATTCTGCTGGGTCGCTTCTCCACGGACTTACGGGACTTGTCCGACTTGCCGCTGCTAGCCGCCGCTGATCTCGCCATCGTCGTTGTCGTCGTCGTCGTCGTCGTCGTCGTTACTTTTTCGGGTTTTTGCCGTTTCTGCGGGAACGAGAACGTGGGCCGCTGGAAACCACGGAGCCGAGAGCGTAGCTTATTAGCCTGCGTCTTCAGGCGTTGAGGTAGGCCGCGAGCGCCGCGTCGAAGCGGCAACTCTTCCACCACTGACGAGTCTACCTAAAATAATAAATATTTCTCTGAAAAATAATGTGGGAATGCGAACCTTATCTAAAAGAATCGAAACTTCCGGCAATACTATTAAAAATATAGTCAACATTTTTTTTATTTTTACTTTAAAAGCGAAGATAATTAAATTAGTACAAATTAATTATAAATATATATTTGTTTTTATTAATGCTATGTAAAATGTGCTTATATGTTTTTCATTTCAATGAGCCACATTAATTTTATAACTCATCTGAATGCTAGATATTTATTTAATATTCCTTCAAGTACACTCCCGTATAAGATACTCTTAAAATTAATGCTATTTAATATATATATATATATAACGTATAATATATTAAAAGACGTAAGACATTTGCATTATAAACTATTATTTAACATTCTCATCAAAAACTTTTATTTTATTTTATAAAAAAACTATCAGAACTAAAATATTACAAATACCTTATTTTAAGGTCACAATGAAAATGGATTAGTGTCGTGCAAAGCATTCGACATGCAATGCCGTTTAGAAACACGCAAAGTACATTAAAAGTGAATATTTTAAAGTACTGTGAAGTAGTTAGCCACTGTAGCTAATCGTGAAGTAAGCCATCGTGAGGTCCGGAATCCATTTCGAATCTATTGTCGGATTCACCGAAATAAATTTCGCGAAAACTTTCGTGAACTGTCGCGGGGCGCGCGCGAACGACTTTACGTCCTCATTGAAAAATATCGGCAAGGTCGAGGGATGATTAATATTCCGGCAGCGCCATATATATATTCTTAGATCCGATTGCGCCACCGATGGAGAAGCTCGAGTTTTCTGGAGAGTATTGCAACCAGCGGTATTGCACAATCGGGCAGTGACACGCTTGCGTTTGAGCCTCCTTTTTACACGTGAGTTTCGCTAAATATAGGCGGTATATTCGACGCGAGTAAAACAAACCGAAGACAACAAGACGAGCCCTGCGAGCCTCGTAGCTTTTAAATTCCGGGGGTCTCTATCGATTCGTGCGGCAGCTATATTTAACCGTTTTTTATTTTACTCCCTTTTGTGCAATTCGCGAACGAGGAGCCTTTGCAGCAGCCACGATTCTCGGCCAATGAATATTGATTTACCGATTTGTGTTATTACTTCAACATATTGTATAAGTTAAAAAACTGTCAAATAAAGAAATTAAACCGTAAATTTCATAAGTAAAGTAAAAAAGTAAATTTTATAAAAAGAAAAACTAAAATTATTATTGTATCATTAATTAAATGTATCTATATTCTATATAGAATATCTCACATTAGATATGTTATATATCATGTGTTGACTGAATTTTAACCAATCAATTGTCTACTAATTATTTTATAAGTATTTTTATAGGTTAGATAAATTTTTCTGTGATAACTAATAAGGAAACCCAGAAGCGATTTTGATGAACTTTGAAAAAAAAAATATATATATATATTATTTTCTGGACAAAAATAACAAAACACGTATTTTTTTATAAGGTCCCAATCGCATTTTTAGGAGGTGCAACACTTTTCTGAAGAAAATTGATTATTGTTTTTCGAAGCAAATATCGTCGGAACTAAGAGATATAAAAAAAATCTAAAAAGAAGTTAAATAATTTTAAGAATACTTAATAATTATAATTAAAAAAAATATTTTTTTAATATTTTATTTAAACAAATTTTTTGAAGCTATTATAAAATACTTTTTAAACCACACATACAACTTTTATTCAGGATATTTTTTTTCTCTTACAGTTTCGACAATATTCGTTTAGAGAAAGCGACTTAATTTTTTTAAAGGGATGTTGCATCCTCTAAAATTGTGGGTTAGGCTTTTATAAAAAAATACGTGTTCCTTATTTTTATCTAGAAAATAATACATTCAAAGTTTAGCAAAATCGAAGAACACTTCCATGGATTTCCTTGTAAATTCTTTTTCCTCGTAAACATGTATGATCAAACTGTGAACTCTACCTGACTAGTGTTGACCTCGCCATCGGTTCTGGATTCTGTGTAGGGAGTGGATGCGAGGAATCGCTCCTCAAGCCTATCCTGAAACTGTTGCGCCGTGGGTTCCAATTCTTCGGAGGTGTCACCGCCGGTTTCACCGAGTTCGCGGCCCTCCATCGCGCTGTCCTCGATTTTGCCATCCAGGGGGAGGATCACGTCGCCGTCCAGGATCAATTCCGGCGGCAGCTGGCCCCGGTCGTCGATGCTGTCGTCGCTGTCGGCGACGGGCATCACGTCCGTGTCGGTGATTCGCACGACCGGTGCCATCGCCGGATGCGGCAACGACGGCGGCGGCGGCGCGATCGGTTCGTAGTCGTGCTCGCTGCAGCGAGAATTCACGTTTATAGAATATAGCGTGAGACCGATTGTATATAAATAAAACTACGTACTTGCGTCGAATCATTAACACGGTGTTTGCCCAGCGACTTTCTATTGTTCTATGTCTTACCATTATCATAAGCGTATAATGATGATACGTAATATAATTAAAAATTAAAATGATTAATTGTTGAATAGAGAGATAAAACGTCCTACTTTACGTTTTATTACCTAGCCATCTATGCCGTTTAAAATTTTATTAGATAGCACTTATTTCTTAAATAATTTTGATTGAAAGCGATTGAAGAATCAGACATGAATGATTATTATATCAACGTGTTAAATAAACAAATACATTTATTTCTTATGATTTTGTTATTTGTAAAGCTGCGAATTTTGAATGTATTTTTAACGAAATGTAATGCGATATTTTAGTTAGATTTCACCGTCCAGGCAGAGTTTGCTTATCATTCTCGTAAAGTTAATAAACAATTGGAATATCGAATGCAATGAATGTTCAATAAAGATTATCAGATAAGTTAATAATAATTATCTTCGAATCGTCTTGAATCGCAATTATCGAAAATGTTATAAATTATATTTGAAAATTATAATGAAAATAGCACGATAAAAGACGAGTTTTTATTCCTAGGATAGTTCAAGTTTTTTCAATGTGCACGATATTCGCTAATTAACAAATTTGTAATAAAAAATAATACAGAATATATATATATATATATATATATATATCTCAAATGCAAAATTCATTCAATTATTTGAAATGGGTCTAGGCTTCTGTTTACACAGCTTCCATTTCCTCCAATTCGAACATGACTTATTACTTCACATGTTTGACCCCCTTCCGATCTCATGAGACCGTAAACGAGTGCAGGGCAAAATTACACAGGATACCTATCGAGATCATGTCGATCGAACAAAACTCATCAACTGATACATGCCCCCATGTCATTTCGCGTTATGTTCGTTTTTTTAGAATCGAGCAAAAAAAGTCGATTATGTTTTTATTGTCACTTTAAAGGATATAGTACTCCGCAGTTTCTCATCGACCTCCTATAACGTTTTATCTCTTTTTACAGATCTCTGAAAATACTTACATCATTTTTCTATGTGAAGAATTTACGACTGTATCTAAAAATTTCTCATACTATAAACTGTAAGTCAGTTATAAAAAAATGTTATAAATTCGCTAAGTTTAAATTTTTAGTGCTACAGATATAAAAAAGTCCAAAACGATACAAATATTGCAAAAATATCTGAGAACACAACACACATCTTAAATTTTTTAGACTCTCTCTCTCTACCTTTCTCTTATACTTTCACGTTGTTTGAAATATATCTTGCATTGATAACTTTTATCAATAAGCAACATCTTATTTTGCTTCTCCATAACGCCTGGATTTAAACTCATTGCGAATTAAATTATTCTCAACATCCGCAAACGCGCTCCGTTCAGTGTAACACAGTTCCGTCAGATGTCCAGCCTCGCCCCGGGGACATCGCAGCATGCGCGCGTGTACCGGTACACGGATGCGGGACACGCGGGTCGCGGACGGGGAACTGGACTTGGCGGATTTGGGAGCTGACCGAGCTTTCTATCTATAGCCACCCGGGCGAACCTTAAATAGCTGCGACGATACGCGACACGATTTCGCACGGTGTAACCTATCACAATGCGCAACTAATACCAACAATGAAATAAACATGGTAATCTCCAGAAGAGATCACTTTACGTAGTTGACCGTCCGAGGGTGGGCCAACCATTATTATTTTCCGTCGATTTTGACTTGGACGGAACATTGGTATACAGGGGGATACTGACCTGCAGCGGACCGCAGGTGGCTGCTGCATCGTTCTGGATGACGGTCTGACGAGGAGAGCACGTCGTTCCGGCAGAAGCGAGTCGCTCCGGTAGAACTGACACCCGCAACGGACCTCGCGTCCGAGGCTCGACGTTGACGACGCCCGCGAAGTGCGTCCTCGTTGCTCCGGCTCCATCCCCACCCCGAGGAAACACCGCAACTACACGGAGATCGGGCACTCCAATCCACCTCCAGTCTCCTTTTTCTCTATCCGCCTACCTGAACGACGATCAAGGGAGCGACGACGATGACGACGTCGACGTCGACGACGACGACGACGACGACGTTTCGTCGTTCTTCCCGGGACGTCGTTCACGAAATACCCTTCGCCTCCCAGTCGAAGGGAAGCGGGAGAGACAAAAAGAGAAAAAAAAAGGAGAAAGATAGAGGGAGAGACAGAGTAGAGAGAAGGAGGCTGAGCGGCCCGCTAGAGCAGCCCGCTGCAGCGGCTCCTAGGCGACTCCCTTCTATACCCTCGGCCGCCCATCGCGAGCGCGACTGGGACGGATATTAGATTATTTATAGCAGCCTCCGGTATTCGGACGGGCTATGACACTGTCTCGGACCGCTCAAACCACCGAATCACCTGGTGCATCTGCGGTCCACTCGGACCATCGTGGCAAATTATATCGCGGATGTATTGCCACGCGGTCGGAAAGATCCGGATGGGTGTTCTCCTCTTCTTCGTGTAGTTAGATAAACGGTTTGATAAACATAAATAAAATCGCACTGATAAAAATTTCGCGATTGGCTAAGTACCAAAAGCGACGGTATTTCTGTAACGTGTATGTTGTTATTTTCAGTGTAGGAAGAAAGCGAATTGACGTGACTTGTAAAATATACGGAACTACTCGGACTTGCTACCGTCGGCATCTCTCAGCGATAAATGACGCTGATGAGTGCTGCTAATGCAGCAGGAAATTAGGGTACAGCTGCGATATTCTATGCTGCGTTAGCGCCACTTATTGGTGTCTTAATTATTAGAAGAGATACGACGGCGGTAGCGCTTTCGCGTTACTCAGTCAATTTTGTTATTTAATTATAAACAAAGTTGCTTCTCTTTAAGTATTTCTTGCCATTGTTAACACGAGCGATGTATTAGTGACTAAAAATCAAATTCTGCGCTGCAAAAATTAAAAAAAGAATTGATGAAATATATAATCCTCATACGAGCACACACGATATATGCTCGTATAAATTGATGAGCAACTTCTGCTTTTACTTGATAATTAATCCTTGAGGAATAATAAAATTCCTAATAATAATTTTTCTTAATAATTATTCCTTGTGGGGATCCTCCTTGCTCCAGCTGGAATGAAACAGGCGCAATTCGATGAATCTAAGTAAAAAAATATGTACGTTTCTCGAAGCAGGAAAGTGTTGTGCGACTTGAGATAAAAACGACGATTACGTGATTTGATTTGAAAGTGAAATTTTTTCCTTTCGAACAATCTCGTTGCAATGACGCGCATTATCTCGCAGCACGCGAGCGTATAAAGAAAGTTATAAAGGCGGACGAACGTCATGCGCGACAACGTGGATTCGGCGATTGTGTCACATCTTGGCACTCGATGCCAGCACCGCGATACAATGCTTAATGATGAGACGGCTGTCGACTTTGTTAATGCACCTCGGTCAATGTAAAAATAATTCGTAGAGAAAGACGCAGCTGCATTGCATTCTTCTTGAAAGCTGCACGTTTGTAATTGTACATATGGTTCGTAATTCTGTATATACGGATGATGTTCCGCAGTATATACACGTGTATTTGGTGTCCCAAGATTACCGGCACATCTTTCATACACACTGAAAGATTAATCAAGAGCTGATCTTCCCCTACAATTTTGACTGTACCCTTATAATGCAGTTATATTCATTTCCAACCGCAATAAATAAAGAAAATATATAAAAATTAGCGTACAACTTGTGAATACTATTAATGACTCTACATTTTTACTAAAAATGGTTCAAATTAATCGAGAAGTGGCAGTAGAAGCGATGATAATTCTGTGACACCCTGCATACTGTACAGAGTATTCGATAACGAATGGTAAAATCCAAGGGGTTGATTTCACGTACAAAAATAAATCGAAATCCATTATTTAGAGTAGAAAAGCGTTATAGACGGCTCAATTTTTAAAAGCCATTTTTTTTTAAAACAGAGCTTTATGCAAAAAAAAGTTCAGTCTACATTTCTGATTTATTTTTACGTGTATAAAATCCCTTCTTTCTCGATTGTACCATTCATTACGGAACAATCTGTATAAAACGTTATATAAACGTTATATATAATATTCTTTCCTCGATATCTGTCGTGTACTATACAGTGTGTTCCAGACGTACCACGTCGTTTCGACTGTCAACGTTAAACTGAGAGAATCTCGATGCAGAATGCCAATAGCTCTTGAGACAATGAGAAGTTCAAGTTTCACGAACATGTAAATAAATAACGAAATGCCGTTTTTCAGCCAACTTTAAGTAAACGTTTACTTTTAAACTTTTAATTCAGCTCGTTAAAGATATTCAATCTGTAAAACTAAATGGCGGACGGTGCTGCACGATTTAAGTTCTCGCTAAAGAAAAAAACTCCACTCGAAAACACGTTAACCATCACGCGACTGAAAGATGGTCCGGTAGGTCTGAAACGCTCCATACTTTTGCAATACTTTATAAAATATAGAATATACAGCACGTATTGTGTATGTGTCGTGTGTGTAAATATATAATACATTGTGTGTATGTGTGTGTGTGTGTGTATTGTGTTACGCTAGGAGTCCTATAACGACGTTCGCTCGACGTTCGTATGGCCGCTAAAGATCCGATATAGTGTGATGTTATTCAGGAGGAAGGGGTGATCGCATGTACAAGTGAGCGCCTAGCAATTTCTTCGATAATCTTCCGACTCGCATGGCCGCTCGCTTATCCCGTGCGAGTCGTCCGTACGGTTAACGTCAAACTCCTCGTCAAGCTCGTAGACCGCGCTCTACTTTTTGCTTATAAATAAACGAGCGAGGAGGAGAAGAGACATTTCCGCGCGCGCGTGGGTGACGCTCGACCGATCGCGAGCGACCACGACGAAGACGACGACGGCGACGTAGTGTCGGAGATGATGCGTCTCTGCCTTGAATCGCACGAAACGGGGACGGTGGGCGCGTTTTCACGGTGTTCGAGTACGAGACAGAGAGAATGCAAATCATCGGGGATGTGTTATTCGTACGAAAATTATATTGCCACTCTACACACACACATATATATATATATATATATATGTATATATATACATATATATGTATGTATGTATATATGTATATATACCTATGTTACAGTTGAAGCATTCGAGCGCATTTCAAGTATGTAACTCTTGAAAAACCAGAAGCGGTAATTTAATCTTTACATTATCAGTCCGAAGCGTCGATACGTAGCAGCAATACTCGCTCGATCGCCGATCGTATTTCTATGAGATTTCTCCATGTCGCAGCGTTGTCGTTATAATCGGACGGTGTAGGCGAGTCCCGTCGTCCGGCGATTACGCGAAATCGGTAGAGCGATTATCCTGCCTTGGTGCCGCGTTGTGTCGTGTTGTCACGGTGTTATCACGCGCTATTCCCGATGTGCCACGTCCAAGTTCTTGGGGAAGGACTTCCGGATCCCTGATTCTCGCTGACACGACCGCGCGATCCCGCGAATTACGCGATTACTGCGAAGACGCGGTTTAATGAGGTCTCAGTGTAACGATTTTATTGTTGCAATTATAATTACAGTAGTCGTAATCGTAATCGTGGTTGTGAGATGGTAACAGGGACGTCGTGTCGGGAACCGGGCAGGGTAGATGCCGGGGTCAGGCGAGCTCGTTGCTTTCCGGAAAGTGGTCGCGGGCGTCCAGGCAGGCGGCTAGATCGAGCACCAGGTGGTGGAGGGTGGGATGCTCCAGGACTTCCGCGTCCGGCAGAGGCGGATGACAACGCGGCCTCTGCTGACGGCCCCTGAACGAACGGTGCAGGTTCAGCACCACGTCGCAGAACACGTAGCGCACCAACAGCAGCCGCAGGAAGTCGTCACCGAAGAACTGCAGCACGCTGGTCTCTACGAGTTGCGAAATCGCGGATCAACTTGTGAAATAACGAACATCAGGAACGATTTGATTTAGTGGAGGAAGATGCTCTTCAAACGTCAGTTCTTTTTACAATTCGTGGCATTAAAATAAATGAGCATATATTTTTCTTTGGAGTTAGTCCTTCGTCGGTGAGACTTCGAAGGATTGCTCCGAAACTTTTTAATTTTCTCAGATATCTCGAGTTGAGCTTTCAAACAGGCTTTTCTAGAAGTGACGCGGAGGCGAATAAAGAAAAAGCACACAGTTATCTTTTCTCTATATATAAAATTATGCGATGTCTTGCCGAAACTTAAATTTTCCATTTTTCAACTGAGTTTGCTCAAGGAAATTTGTGACAGAAAGATAATCCGGTTGTATTTTGAATAAATGTTTTGAATAGAAAGCATGTGATATAACATTGGCTCATCTCGGTAAAGATAATAGGTATCCCTTAACTCAGGAGTTAAAGAGACATACAGAAATCGGAGAACAGGAGTTCGCCGATAAATTCGTTTGGATCTAGGCCAAATGCGTTTATTGTTGTAACACGATCGTAAGTCGTATTCAATGAGCCAGACGGTTGCTGTCGCACAACGAACATGCCTCCGTTTTGACGATAAAATCGTAATTTTGCTCGCCCCTCTCAGTGTCGTGTTATAACTATCAAACACCACGCGATATGCTGGTTAAGTTGAATAAATCTTTTTCGATAACTATGTGCTTTTTTAAGAACGCGATACAATCCTACAGAAATGTTCTACCTTCAATTATTGCGGTAAATATTCAAGGCGGATATTTTAAAAGCTGTTTCTTAAAATAATAGCAAAAGCACTTGAATTCGACGATTAAGACCTATAAAACAGTAATTACTCCTGTTTTTCAAGATAGGTTGAATATAAATTTACAATTTCAATTATAATCTTTTCATTAATGATGCCAATTTTTAGCCATCCAGCAAGGAACTGATTGAGAGATGATTCAGTCTCTCCTAGCATTCATCGTCCTCCACTATCGTGTTCGTTGGTCCTTTTCATCTGATCGACGCTTTGGACAATTTGGATGCGTCGAGTATCCTTACCGCATCGGGAACGCGTTACGAGCTGACTGGCCTCGTTAAGGAATCGCTCGATGTAACGCTGGCAGCGCTCCCAATGTTGCACGGGCAGACTCCCGACGTTGCATATAAGGCAAAAGGCGGCGAGGGGGGCGTGAAGAAATAGGGTGAACAGGCTGCCACCGTGTCGCAGGTCGCGCAGGGTCGGCGGTACGTCCTGC